AAAAAAAAAAAAAGAATGGAGTTATGTGTACCATGGAATACTATTCAGCCATAAAAAATAGATGGTGGTGTTACATCTTTTGTATTAACCTGGATGAGCTGAAACATTCTTCTCAGTAAAGTATCACAAGAATGGAGAGGCAAGTATCCAATGTACTCTATACTAATATGAAGCCAGTAGATGATCTAATTCATGCCCACAGGGGAGAAAAACTCTTTTTAATTCAAGTTCGGAGAAGGGGAATGAGAGGGAGGGAGGTTTGGGTTGTTCCCACTTAATTGACAAACTGTTGGGTCTATGACACACTTTTTGGGTATGGGATACACTACAAGAGGGATCCACCTAACAAGTTCAAATAGTATGACCTGGTTGTTTGAATCCTCACATTAACCTGAAATAAGAAAAATAAAAAAAAAAATAAAAAGAATGGAGCTATTCCCTTCCTCCAACCACGCACCTTAAAAACTTTAGCTATTACTCAGAAGGCAGTGAATAAGCCGAATACTCTGGCTTTTATTCAGCTTTTCTAGTGAGCAAATTTTTTGGTGCTTCATTGGAAATAGTTGAAGCACATGTGAAAAGAGCTCGGAAGGAGTTAAAGGACTGTGTCAGGGAACAAGGGTGGCGCCGTCTTTTATCACATGGCATTCTGGGGGCCCCTTTATCTTAATGTTTCCCAGGGGGCCCTCAGACCAAGCAGGGCCAAACTTTCACTGCTCTGACAAGGTCCAGAGAAGAGAAAGGAGCTGCTGTTAGTGGAACCAGCCCAGGAGGGTCAGTGGTGAACACCTCTCCATCAGGGACAGACGTGGCATTCCACACTAAAGTGTTCAAAAACTAAAAAAAGACAGTTCTGGAGACGTGGTGTCTGTCTCCTCGGTCCTGTGTCTCTCTACGGACTGAGTCCTCCTGTCTTTCAGTCCTGCCTCCTCTTCCCTCTTACAAGATCAGACACGTGCACATGCTGCCTTGTTGAAGTCAAGCTGGATTATCGCAGGCTTGTGCTCCTCAGACTTGACCAAAGTCCCTCCCCTGCAATCTGGAATTAGGACTAAGATTCTACACCCCAGCCTGTTACCTTCCTTGAACTAAAGCAAGATCCTTGAGATACCGCAGCATTCATCTAACACATTCTTCTTTGGGCTTAGGTTAAAGTGGGTTTTTTATATACAAAACAGTCTTAACTAACACATTTTTGGCCCTAAGGAAGGATTTTTTAAATGGGCTTTCTATGAAATGCAGATATCAAATAAACCTTAAAAAGGCTTAACTTCAGCTAGGCATGGTGGCTCACACCTATAATCCTGGCATTTTCAGAGGCCTAAACAGGAGGATTTCTTGACCTCAGGAGTTTGAGACCAGCCTGAGCAACAGTGAGACACCTCCCTTCACCCCGCCCCTATCTCTATAAATAATAGAAAAATTAGCTGAGTGTGATGATGTCCACCTATAATCTAAGTTACTTTGGAGACTGGGGCTGGAGGACCCCTTGAGCCCAGGTGTTTGAGGTTACTGTGAGCTATGAGGACACCATGGCACTCTAGCCCGGGCAACATTGTGAGACTCTGTCTCCAAAAAAACAAAAAGGTTCAACTTCAGTAGTAAGCAAGGAAATAAAACTTGAACAGTAAAATGTCCTTAATCAATATGACAAATGCTTTGGAAAAATGATAACATTAAATGATGGCACAGGTTTTGGAGAAACTCAGACACTGCTTCTGGGATATAAATTGGTATAGCTTTTCTATTTAGTAATTGGCCAACATTGCCAAGAGCCTTAAATATATAACTTTGGACTCATTCTAATTCTGAGCAAATAATCTGACAAGCAGTCAAAGAAATGTATGCATATAAATGTTCATCATACCATTATTTATAAGAGTGAAAAACTATAAGCAACTTTGAAATCCTAACAAAAAGGAATTGTTAAATAAATTATATTGTATTAATTTGCTGGAATATTATGAAACCAAGGTCATAGTAGAATGCTCATGATATACATTAACTGAGAAAAACAGAAGCAAAATACCATTTCTCTACACAGAGGAAGAGTGCACTGCCATTAAAAACTACACAGGCTGCCTCACGCCTATAACCCTAGCACTCTGGAAGGCCGAGGTTGGTTGATTGCCTGACCTCACAGGTTCGAGACCAGCCTGAGCTACAGTGAGACCTACTCTCTAAAAATAGCCAGGCATTGTGGCGGACACCTGTAGTCCCAGCTACTTGGGAGGCTGAAGCAAGAGAATCGCTTGAACCTGAGAGTCTGAGGTTGCTGTGAGCTATGATGCCACAGCATTCTACTGAGGGCAACAAAGTGAAACTCTGTCTCAAAACAAAACCAAAAAGTATACAGGTTGGCATACAGCTCACACCTGTAATTCTAGCACTTGAGGAAGCCAATGCAGAAGGACGGCTTGAGGCCAAGAGTTTGACACCAGCCAACATAGTGAGATCTTGTCACTACAAAAAATTTCAAAACTTAGCCAGATGTGGTGGCATATGCCTATAGATCAGTTACTAGGGAGGGTGAAGCAGGCAGACCACTGATCCCAGGGGGCTGAGGCTGCAGTGAACCACACTGTACTCTAGCCCAGGTGACTGTAGCTGTACATGTCCGTATGTCTGTATTACGTTGCTACATAAAAATGAAAGCTGCAAATCTCCCTTTCCCCACAAACAAGCAAAATCATAGCATGGTTCTGTTTTTACTTAAAAATGATAATGGCGTAGGTTATGATCTATAAGAGAGAAAACCTGTGCAAAATGAAAGCGCTCTCTGGGGAGTGTCACTATGATACATATTTCTGTAACGTGGGATTTTTTTCCCAAAGAAAACTTCTTTTTTTGGCAGTTTTTGGTGAGGGGCCGGGTTTGAACCTACCACCTCCAGTATATGAGGCCGGCGCCCTACTCCTTTGAGCCACAGGCGCCGCCCAGAACATATGTTATTTTTAAGGTTTTTTTTAATATTTAGAAAATCTCTATCAATCACATATTTATTACTAATTACAAAGGAAAAATTGTACCTTTACAATGGAAGAATATAGTGGTTACAAACTTAATCAAATGATCAAACTTAACATCATTAATAAGACATTCTGACATTATATATCTTCCAAGGTGAGATAATTTGAAGTTTACACCATTAACTATGAAGTATTCTTTTTTTTTTTAAAGAGACAGAGTCTTGCCCTATCACCCAGGCTGGAGTGCAGGGACAAAATCACAGCTCACTGTAGTCTCAGACTCCCAGGCTCAGGCAACCCTCCCACCACAGCCTCCTGAGTAACTCAACTATAGGTGCCTGCCACTACATCTGACTAATTTTTAACTCTTTCGTAGAGACAGGGTCTACCTATGTTACCCAGGCTGGTTTTGAACTCCTAGCCTCAAGCAATCCCCCCACCTCGGCCTCCAAACATCCCAGGGATTACCCGGTATAAGCCATTAGATCTAGCCTATGAAGGATTCTCATCAGAAATATTTAACCTGAATATAAATAAACATCTGGACCATTAGTTTTCTTTCTTTCTTTTCTTTTTTTTGAGACAGAGCCTCAAGCTATCCCCCTGGGTAGAGTGCCGTGGCATCACAACTCACAGCAACTTCCAACTCCTGGGCTCAAGCGAGTCTCCTGCATCAGCCTCCCAAGTAGCTGAGACTATAGGTGCC